GACTTCATAAATGAGTGAAATAGCTAGAAGGAACTGCATGTAAACAGATTGAGTTTGTTCAAACCATGCTTCAGATTTCATCCAGTAATTAAATATTTACATCATGAAATTAACCACAAGAAACATCTATATAGCCATGTAGGTAGAAAAATGAGGATGGAAGAGAGAAATATTGGTCCCTATTAATATTTCCAATAGAGGTGTAAAGCTTCTTCAAGTAGCTATATAACCTTAACTTAGTTACATGACTACTTTTCATTATTTATACATGACTACTTTTCATTATAAAAGAAACTGTTTAATTTTCTTAGATAAATTAGTAGTCAGTAGAATTAAATTATTAAATAAATCTAGGACAAAGTTGTGGGTCTCATTTTTTTCTTTTGTGAAAAAGTGATGAAAAAGACATGTATTCGTTCATGCAGCTAACATGAACCTTCCGTTCGACTTCTTCACTCTACTGTTTGTTGCATTTCTGACCAGTAGAACAAAGGACTCATAAAACAATTATGCAATATGAAACACTTGTATATATATATATATATATATATATATATATATATATATATGTATGTATAGTCAAATACGCGAGATTTTGATCACTTTAAAATTCATTTAGATACTTGAAATGGATCAACTTCATAGGTGTGGATCCTTGGACCCATATGGAGAATAGTCAAATATATGAATTCAGAAATAAAGAAAACAAAGGGTGGTCGACCAAGAACGACTTTTCAAATCATCAATAACTGATAAGGACTGATAAACTTTCTTTCTTTCACGTTATTTGCATATATACAAATAAACATATCAATTTATATTTCGCATGAAGGCATAATCATATATAACTTTTAAAAAACATAATTCAAAATAAAAACTGTACAAACATTTTCTTTAACGTAAAAGCAAAGACGATAATTATCTATAATAGAAATCGAAACACATAATAGTCAAATTCACTGTGAATGGATGACTGGATCTAAAATTCTGAACAAAACAAAACTAAGACTAAAAAAATAAAGACGTCTTGATTATTGAACCGTTTTCTTATATATACGCGGGACGACCTATTCCAATATTTAATAAAATGCTACCACTACACAAAATAATAAGCGAACACAGTTTGATTTGCCCAAGACTAAGTCCACTGAATATTAAAAATCTAGCTAAAACAAAATTTAGAAAATTATTTATGACGTGTAAATGATAAAATATCCAATTGTCCAGAGACCAGTTGACAAAAACATCCAATCCTCAAGTTGCATAAGAGAAACTTCGAAGTTCCTCACAACTCTTCACTTTTCTTATATCTGCTCTCCAAAAGAGAGAAAATTAACCAAGAAAAGAAAAAAAGAAAAGAGAAGAAGCAGAAGATTTTTTGGAATGGAGAGACAAAAGAGCATGGAAAAAGGGTTGCTGAGAAAGAGCTTAAGCATACGAGAGAGAAAGTTCCCTAACGAAGACGCTTTCTTAGAAGCCGGTTTATCGAGGAAATCTCCGAGAGAGGTCAAGAAACCTCAAAACGACGATGGTGAATGTCGTGTCACCGCCTCTGTTTTCCTCAGTACCTTTGTTGCCGTCTCTGGCTCCTTCTGTACCGGTTGTGGCGTGAGTCTTCTTTTCTCGATTCGATTTCGGTTTCGTTCGGTTTATATCAACCGGTTTTTACTCTGAATTTGATGTTGAATTTACTGAACCGGCTTATTTATCGGTTTTGTAGGTTGGTTTTTCATCGGGTGCTCAAGCAGGGATTACCAAAGATTTATCTCTTTCCGTTGCAGAAGTAACCAAATAATTATTACTCTATAGTTTAATCTTCTTCTTTTTTTTCACTATAGTTTAATCTTTAGTTCTTCAAAATGTAATTTTGAGTTTTGACTTCTAATTTGACCCTATTTTATTGGATTATACAGTACTCAATGTTCGGGTCGATCTTGACTTTAGGAGGCTTGATCGGTGCAGTATTCAGTGGCAAAGTCGCTGATGTCTTGGGAAGAAAACGGGTAAGCTAGCAAAAATTACGTTTCGGTTTTGATTTTTATGAACCAAAACCAAATCCATGGTTTGGTTTGACTCGTACCGGGTTTTTACTTAACCTTTTTTCCATTTTTTTCTGAAAACAGACGATGTTGTTTTGCGAATTCTTCTGTATCACAGGCTGGCTTTGTGTAGCACTGGCTCAGGTTTTTTGTCTAAACTACTTGTTGTTTGTCTTTGCTTACTTGTCAGTTGTCACAGTTTATTTAATATTATCCTTTTATTAATTTCTGTCTGCTTTTTTAAATTATTGTATTTTATATTAATGTTTTTGAAGAATGCAATGTGGTTGGACTGTGGAAGATTGTTACTTGGAATCGGCGTTGGTTTATTTAGCTACGTGGTAATTCCTCTTTTTCTAAATTCATTCTCAGCAGACAAAACTTTTAAAACTAAAATAAGAGAATTACTGATACAAAGTTGTGTTTCATGTAGATTCCGGTGTATATAGCCGAAATTGCACCAAAACATGTCCGAGGATCGTTTGTGTTCGCCAATCAGGTACGTACGTAAATTTCTATCTAGTGTTATCTTTGGAATAATAACTTTGTTATAACATGTATTTTTGTTAAAATGTGTACAGTTGATGCAAAATTGCGGAATTTCACTCTTCTTCATCATTGGCAATTTTATTCCATGGAGACTACTAACAGTAGTCGGTATGATTCCGTTTAGAGATTGTCATCTAAAGTTTTTTTTTAAATGATAGATGTAATTCAAACGGGTCACTTTAACATTATGTTTGTATGTTTCCAGGATTGGTGCCATGTGTGTTCCACGTCTTTTGTTTATTTTTCATCCCCGAATCTCCAAGATGGCTGGTAAGTTTTTTTTTTATTTTTTATATATATTTGCATATATAGTATTGGTTTCTATATATGATTATAACCAATCAAAAGCCGGTAAATCTTTTGAAACTTGGTTCAAATATTTGTAAATATTTGTTGGCTTCTTCAAATATAGTTTTGTATACATGACAGGCGAAGTTAGGTCGTGATAAAGAATGCCGATCTTCGTTGCAACGCCTTAGGGGATCTGACGTCGATATTTCTCGTGAAGCAAACACAATTAGAGTATGAAAATATTCCATTCATTTTAAGTTTTTGTATCTATTCATTTACTAATGTAGGGTTTCCAACTTTTTTCAGGATACCATTGACATGACAGAAAACGGTGGTGAAAGTAAGATGTCTGAATTGTTTCAGAGACGATACGCATATCCGTTAATTGTAAGTATTTTGAACTAATGAAAACAATTATATTGGATAGTAGTTGTGTTAAAAAAACATGATTTTGGTAAATTGCTTTTGAATTAGTTATTAAACATGACAACATTTTAAAATAATTAATTCGTACATATATATTTGTATTCAGATCGGAGTTGGTTTAATGTTTTTGCAACAATTGTGTGGGAGCTCCGGTGTTACCTATTATGCTAGTAGCCTCTTCAACAAAGGAGGTATTTTAATTGATAATATGAATATTTCATGTTTAAGTTCAATCCAATAAATATTCTGAGTGTCAATCCATTTTAAAATTTTAACCTATATATTTTCTTTTCAGGATTTCCAAGTGCTATTGGCACATCCGTAATAGCCACAATTATGGTAAAGTTTCAATTAAAAAAAAAAATAATAATTAAAAACATTATAGAAATTCCAATATGAAAATTGAAATATTTATTTGATTATGTTTAGGTTCCGAAAGCGATGCTGGCAACAATCCTCGTCGATAAAATGGGGAGGAGAACGCTCCTAATGGTTAGATTATAAAATTTTGATTCAATCAAGTAATATTAGTTATGACTTTTCTTCATCAGACTAAAGACTAGCTAATTTTTTATATAAATTTAAACAGGCTTCTTGTTCTGCAATGGGTTTCAGTGCTTTGCTCTTAAGTGTTTCTTACGGTTTCCAGGTAATTATAATTATACGTATATGAATACATAATTTAATGAGAATATATTTTCTTAAGAACAATATGAATATAAATATTCACCTTTTTTCTCTAGCTAATTATATCTTCAAAATTTTGTTAAACGTTATGCAGTCCTTTGGCATTCTTCCTGAACTCACTCCCATCTTCACTTGCATCGGCGTATTGGGTCACATTGTGTCATTTGCGATGGGAATGGGAGGACTACCATGGATTATAATGGCTGAGGTATGCCAACATTAATATTTCATGTTTTTATTAAAATATTTGTTTAAGAATGTTACTAACGATAAGGAACTATATATGACCAACATTTATAGCATAGTGGTTAATTAGTTACACCCAAGTGTCAACCAGAAATGTGAATTTGGAGTTAACAACAACAAAATCTAATTCAAAAAATTATTTCGTTTGCAGATATTTCCTATGAATGTGAAGGTGTCAGCTGGGACCTTAGTTACCGTAACCAATTGGTTATTTGGTTGGATTATCACATATACTTTCAATTTCATGCTAGAATGGAATGCATCAGGTAAGTACTTATATATAAACATGTTAATATAATTCTCATTATCACTATTATGATTCTATGAATGGATGATTGATTGTGTTATATTTTGTTTATTTGTTAAGGAATGTTCCTCATCTTCTCAATGGTCTCCGCCAGTTCAATCGTATTTATATACTTTTTGGTACCTGAGACGAAAGGCCGGTCACTTGAAGAAATACAAGCATTGCTCAACAACTCTGTGCAATAATATCTTTTTTCTTTTTTCTTTTTGGGTATATGATTATATAAGTCGATTGTTGTTATTGGTGTGATTTTGAATGTGATTCGTGTACGTATCTAATTTTGGATGGCAAATTTGAAACAATAAATTTGTATATTTCCCGTTTGGGAAAAATGTATGGATTTGGTAAGTTATAAGCAAAAGTTTTGTTGTAAAAGTTCACAAAAAATAAAATAAATAGAGATATTAAGAAAACAATTGCAAAAACATGTTTAGAGGACTCTCCTACAGTAAAAGGTGAGAGAAAAAATACTAGATTTGATTGATAATATGAAAGTCAATGATGGTAAAAAAATGGTTAGTTGTCTTTCGTAAACACTTTTCTCATTTTTGCATAATGTGAAACAGAGTGGGATCATAAACAGAGTCGTCTCTTGAGAACGTGGTCTCGTAAGGTAGGCTCTCAGTTTTGACAAGACATAATAATAATCATCGATCTCTCCACTATAAAATCAAATCTAATCTAAACGCCAAAGGGGAAAAAAAAAGAGAGGAAAAAAAAATGGTGAATGAGAAGAAGATACTCCCAAAACGCATCATACTAATGCGCCACGGTGAGTCAGCCGGTAACATCGATGCAGGGGCTTACGAGACAACACCCGATCACAAGATCCCTTTAACAGAAGAAGGACGAGCGCAGGCGCGTGAGGCCGGGAAGAAAATGAGAGCCCTCATATCGACTCACAGCGGCAGCGCGTGTGGAGAGAATTGGCGCGTGTACTTCTACGTGTCGCCGTACGAGAGAACGAGGACGACTTTGAGGGAAGTAGGGAAAGGGTTCTCGAGGAAGCGCGTGATAGGAGTGAGGGAAGAGTGTAGGATTAGAGAACAAGATTTTGGGAATTTTCAAGTGGAAGAGAGGATGAGAGCTGTGAAGGAGACGAGGGAACGTTTCGGTAGATTTTTCTATCGTTTTCCCGAAGGTGAATCTGCCGCCGACGTCTACGATCGTGTTTCTAGTAAGTTCTTTGAATTTTATTATAGTGGACATTAGATACGAATAATTGATGCTTTCATTACAATAACATTGAATATTAGTTTTGAATTCGACAAAACATACTATAATTAATTATAAGAAAGGTAGTGGAATCATATAATTAATATCTCGAAATGGTGTGTTTGGTCAAGTCTACTTTCAGGACTTTTTGACATGAGAAAAGAAGACGTAGTTTGATTGGTTTTCGAGTTTGTTGATTTTTTTGGGGGAACGTCTTCGTGTAACGTACGTATTCTTTTATGTATAAACTAATTAGAAAAATCATTTTACGGAACCAACTAGCTAGTGAAAGTTGTAGATGTAGACTAATTTATCTAGAAATTAGTTTGTAAATTTTTAGGCTGTATCTTTAAATAAAATTATATTATTGCAGAAAAAAGACATTCAACGTTTAATTTTTTTATATAAATTGTTTTTTTTTTATCATTTTTTATCAGTGTTCATCTTCTCTAGTAACATTAGTATATGTAAAGTGAGATCAATGTCAAAACTTTCATTTATTCAAAATTTCATGGATGTTATATAACATTGATCGTTTAATGTCTCACCTGATTTGAAAGGTTTTCTGGAGTCTATGTGGAGAGACGTGGACATGAACAGGCATCAAGTTGATCCATCAAGTGAACTAAATCTAGTGATTGTGTCCCACGGACTGACCTCTCGGGTGTTTCTAACGAAATGGTTCAAGTGGACGGTGGAAGAGTTCGAGCGGTTGAACAATTTTGGGAACTGCGAGTTCAGAGTGATGGAGTTGGGTGCGAGCGGAGATTACACTTTCGCGATACACCATACTGAAGAAGAGATGTTGGATTGGGGGATGTCTAAAGATATGATTGATGATCAAAAGGAACGTGTTGATGGTTGCCGTGTAACATCTAACGATTCTTGTTCATTGCATCTCCATGAATATTTTGATTTGTTAGATGTGACTGATGATGATGAAGAATAATAATTATGTATATTGCCAAACATTGTTTTCGCGTATGGAAATGTAATATTTTTCATTTGTTTGTTGGTTTTGTTAAATATCGAGTTAGTCAAAGATTAAATTAGGGGTGTCAAAATGAGTAACCCGACCCGACCCGACCCAAACCCATATGGGTTTGAGTGTTTAATGGACGGGTTTGACCCGACCCATATATTTATATGGGTTGAATTTACATACCCAAACCCATTATTGTAAAAACTCATTGGCTTAATGGGTTATATGGGTACCCATATATATGTATAATAAAATATATAAATAATAAAAATCCAAAAAAATAACATAAAATTGTAAACCAACAAAAGTTTTTAAATAATAAATTAAAAAAATCTAGATATTAAAATAGAAAAGCATCCTAAAATCTTAAAACCACAATTCCAAAGAACCATAAAACCAAATAAAAAAAAGAAAAAATAGTCTTAATTTAAAGAACATTTGAATATTATACATATATTTTACTTTTTACTTTTATTTTTAGGTAAAATGTAAACTTTAATAGTTATTTTAGATATTTTACATATATAGTTGTAAAGAAAAGAATATATTTTACATATATTTATATATATTTTACATAATATATTAATATAGATATATATAAATTTTACTTTTTAGTTTTAGTTATGAAACCTATGGGTAACCCATGACCCTAATGGGTTTTACCCATTAAACCCATAACCCTAATAGGGTAACCCACTAAAACCCATTTATATATATGGGTAAAAAAATTCTACCCAGACCCACTAAAATCATGGGCGGGTTCGGGTAACCCATGGGTATTAACCCATTTTGACACCCCTAGATTAAATTAGGGGTGTCAAAATGGGTAACCCGACCCGACCCGACCCGACCCAAACCCATATGGGTTCGAGTGTTTAATGGACGGGTTTGACCCGACCCATATATTTATATGGGTTGAATTTACATACCCAAACCCATTATTGTAGAAATCCATTGGCTTAATGGGTTATATGGGTACCCATATATATATGTATAATAAAATATATAAATAATAAAAATCCAAAAAATAACATAAAATTGTAAACCAACAAAAGTTTTTAAATAATAAATTAAAAAAATCTAGTTATTTTACTTTTTACTTTTATTTTACATATATTTTACTTTTTACTTTTAATAATAAATAAATTAAAATAATATTATACATATATTTTACTTTTTCCTTTTATTTTTAGGTAAAATGTAAACTTTAATAGTTATTTTAGATATTTTACATATATAATTGTAAAGAAAAGAAGATATTTTACATATATTTATATAAATTTTACATAATATATCAATATAAATATATATAAATTTTACTTTTTAGTTTTGGTTATGAAACCCATGGGTAATCCATGATCCTAATGGGTTTTACCCATTAAACCCATAATCCTAATAGGGTAACCCACTAAAACCCATTTATATATATGGGTAAAAAAATTCTACCCAAACCCACTAAAATCATAGGCGGATTCGGGTAACCCATGGGTATTAACCCATTTTGACACCCCTAAATTAAATTGGAATTCACATCACTGTCAAAGGCAAGGATGGGCAGGTAAGAGACATTAGTATTTAAGATAAGATGGATAAACAAAAAGGGCGTTTGGTCTAGTGGTATGATTCTCGCTTAGGGTGCGAGAGGTCCCGAGTTCAATTCTCGGAACGCCCCCTTGTAATGATTTTTATTTTAATCCTGCGTAAATGACGTAGCTTATTCTTGAAAATGATTACAAAGAATTCTTGTAAACTTTATTAAATGATCCAAGTTTATGAGAATACAGTGACTAATTGACTTATCTTTGTTCACATTGAGAAAAAAAGAAACTTTTTATTTTAACATGGAACAATCAGATCTCTCAGCGAAACTCAATCAGATGCTACAACAGTATCTGCGAATCAGATGCTAATAAATCTGTGAAATTCAAAACTTGGTTTTGCTGTTGTGAATCTGAATGGCATGGAATTGATATCTTCTTCAACCATTGGAAACTCAGCTCTGTGTTTAACCCTAATCTTCATTCTCATCTTCTTCTTCCTCTTCACTACAACCACCATTCCCACTTTCCCGGATCATCCTCTTCGTTCTCTTCTCGACGAGTCCACTACGAACACTAGCTCAATCGTTAATCCCAAATCCTCTTGTTTCTCCTCTAGATCCCACGATAATGGCGGCGTCATCAACTATTTCTCCCTCCATTACTGTATCTTCAACGAAAACCTATTCTTCTCGATCCCAATCTTGTCTCTCCTCATTCTTCTTCACTTTTACATACTTATCAAAACCGCTCAGACTCACTTCTCCACTGTCACTACAAAGCTCGCCGATCGCCTCAATCTCTCTCCCAGTATGGCCGCTGTGACTCTCTTAGCCTTGGGTAATGGCGCACCTGACGTGTTTGCCTCTGTTGCTGCTTTGCGTGGTGGTCAGTACCGAACCGGATTCGGTGCTATCTTATCTGCTGGGACTTTCGTCTCTGCCTTTGTGGTTGGGTTCGTCGCGATCTATGCTGCGCCGTTTCCGGTGGACGCTGCGTCCTTTGTCAGAGATGTGCTTTTTTATTTGATTGCTGCTTCGTTCTTGTTCTATGTGTACTTGAGTGGCGAGATATTTGTGTGGCAAGCTATAGGGTTTGTCGGGTTTTATATTTTCTTCGTTGGGTTTGTTTTCTGGATGGATTTTGGTACCAATGTTGAGAAAGGGAAAATTACCAGTGAGGAAGAGAAGGATTTGTTGAGACTTCAGGATTGTGAAATTGCTGCAGGTCCTCTTGTGGGTTATAAAGCAGAGAAAGACCATCAATTTTCCGGAATTTTTCGGCTTTATGGAATGGTAAAATTCTTCTTTACTCATTTTTGAGCTTCGTTTATTGATCATTATGCTTGAATTTTTATGGTAGCATCATCTTCAGCAACCAATTGTGAACTCTGATATTGCTTAGTTTAGATTATGTGTTTTTGATTTGCCTAAGAACTTTATTGGCTCCCTGTTTTCCTCTTAATTTACTCTAAGGTTATGGTAAGTCTTTATTTTAGTCTAGTGAATGAGCATTGTCACTTGCTTAGGTGGTTTCAACTGGATTGTCGCTGTGTTGACCGCTCAGGAACAATCGTTAGATTGTTTGTTAGCTAGAGATCTAACATGTTAGAAAGAAGTTGGGAAAAATGAGTCTGAGTTATTCTGGATTTTCATAGGGTTTAGGATTGAGAACTGGTCAAGGCTCTTTAATTAAGTCTCTCTATGATGTGTATTCCTTTGGTGAACTCGACATAAAAGAGTTTACCGGTTTGGATCCTATCAGGTTACTGTAATTTACTTTTTCTGTTATACATTATTACTGCATATGTATATAAGTTTGATTTTGAATTTGAAGTTAAGAACCGGTTGTCTGATTTTGCTTTTATTGCTGTGATTGCAGATCTCGAGGATGTGGGAGACTCCTGTATCAGTTCTTTTGAACCTTACCATCCCAAAACCTTCTCCTTCTGAATGGTCTAGGTTTTATCGTTCTGCCAACATTGTTTTCTGCCCTTTTGCCCTTTTATACACCTGCAACTCTTTTGTACAACTAAACCACCCAATTTCCTTCCTCTTTCCAAACACCCATCTCCCGCTTTGGCTTGTTGTCCTCTTCATGACGTCTTCCCTAGCGTTCCTCCACTTCACAGTAGAGAAACAACCACCAAAAACCGAGCAACTGCCGGTCATCGTTGTAGCTTTCATAATGAGTGTTTTCTGGATATCAACAATTGCTGGTGAGCTCCTTAACTGCTTGGCTGCACTTGGAACCCTCCTTAAACTGCCTCCGGCACTCCTTGGCCTAACCGTTCTTGCTTGGGGAAACTCGGTTGGTGACCTAGTTGCGGACGTGGCAGTTGCAAAGGCAGGTAGACCAGCAATGGCTATGGCCGGTTGCTTTGCAGGTCCAATGTTTAACATGCTTGTTGGACTTGGATCGGCCTTGGTGATGCAAACAGCTAATGTGTATCCAAACGCTTACAAACTTGGATTCCATGTAGGTATTGTGATCGCTTTCGTCTTCTTGTTGCTGAGTCTAATGGGATCTCTGTTGGTTATAACCTGGTCTAGGTTCCGAGTTCCGAGATTCTGGGGGATCTGTCTTGTTGGACTGTACGTTGCTTTCACATTTGTTAGTTTGATCATCGCCAGCGTATCAACCTGATCATACACGTGAAGTCTGCACATTGAATAATCTTGGATTAACCAGAGTTCCATTGTTTAGGAATTTTTGTTGTCTCGAAGAGAATTGGCAAAATTTTGTGTTCAGCTAATGTGGCAGACACCGAATCCCACAACTAGTTCTTGTGATTGTCTGAGGCAGATTAGGAAAGTTTGGTAGATAGGTGATGGTAAAATACATGTGAAGAGCAAAGGATATGCAGATCTTTCTGGGAGAAGATGTTGAATTCCCCAACCGGTTTAGTGAACCGGTATACCATTCTATTGATTGTACTGGTCTTGTTTTTTTTGGGTCTGGTATATGTATAAACCACACATTTGTATTCTTTTGATATTAATGAGAAATGAGAAATACTTCCCCTTCACTACGTCTCTCCATCCTAAAATGTAGTAGTAGTATTAGAGCAGAACAAAATGTTGATTCTGGTTCATTTCTATGTTGTGATCCAAAAATCCAGACTATGCAAATGCAACAATAATTAAAGGGTTGCCAATTAAAAATCCTAAGAAATAATAATAATAAAAAATTACAAATGTAGAGATAAAACAAATCATCATCTGACAGCAGCAGAAGAATCTTGACATAAGCCCAATGGTTGACACGACACCCAGCTTTTAAAGCTTCCACTTACTACTGCTTCCCTTTGTCTTTCTAAATTCCTCATTGTTAAAGTCGAAAAAGGGTAAAGCAGCAAAACCCTAATAAAATCACAGCAAATTAACACCAAACCAGATCTTAAAACTCTCTTTACCCACCAAGAGGATCATTCACTCTCTTCCCCCTTCAGTTTCTCCCTTCCACAGGTCACTCTCGTTTACAGATT